CTCGCGACCCCGTGGCACAAACTGCTCCCTTTCCTCCGAGGAGGAGCACCGAGTTGACCAGGGCAATGTGGCTTGAGGGTAATGTAATGCACTCCAGTGCCGGGGGAGGACTAGGACTTCTGGAGGGTTGGTGATGGACCATTTCCACTCTTCCCCTGTCGTCGAGATATCTTGGGTAGGCAAAGTCGTTTTGGACAAGATGAGCTGCGTCTGGCCCCACATCGGCATTGAGCTCCATCCTCCCATCCTCAATCAGTGCAGCTGCGTCGACCTCCAGCCTGCCTTCCAATCCCTCTCTCAACTGTTCCATCTGGTCCTCATCTAAGACTGCCTGTATTTCACCATTCTCCACTTCCATTACTACTTCCATACCTTCATCAGCACCATAAGCAACCTCCTGTGCTGCCACTCCCACCCTAACCACCTCATCTCCTCCTTCATTTTCATGTCCTTCAGCAACCTGTCCTCTCTCCTCCAGCCTCACGCGATCCATTTCCTCCTCTGATTGTTTGGTCACATGTTGCACTTCACCTGCCCAGAAGGTAATGAGCTGCTCCATCTCCAGGCAAGAAGTGGGCCAGTCAAAGTCATCCCTCGGCCCAACTGGAAACCTCACTCTTGATCCAATTAGTCTCTGCGCCCGTAGCTGCCAAGCCGTGGTGTCTTCACCTACTGTACTCAAAGTGCGACATACCTGAAACACGGTAAAAGATGAGAAATCTTCTCTTTGTGCAGGAGTGTCTTGAACTTTTTCAATTGTGTCTAATATTATGTCTTCAAACTCCAGTGTATTTTATTGGGATTTCAAATAGTAGACCAAAACAAAACGGTAATTGAAATAAAGCCTTCACTGTTATTTGGCTCAGTGTAGTCATATTGGATAAAGGATGTTGTAAAGATCAATTTTCAGATTTTAATTTGAAAAAGAAAAACTACTTCCACTTTTCAGCTCTGCACTGCTTTGTTTCTCCGCATAAATTCTGATAAAATACACTGACGTTTTTCTATGAAATGTTCAAAGCTAATTCTGACAAATTTTCATGCTTGTCCTTCCTACCTTTGGCAGCACGTTGATCAAACAATGTGCTGGAAGGTATGAAGCTATGTGAGTTAGGATCTCCCATGGTAATAACAGCAAGTCACTTGATTCAGCAGAAGCAGATGGTGAGGGACTTGGTCCTGCTGACGGTGAGCTAAGAGGAGGGGAAAGACTGAAAGGAATATGCAGAAAAAAATGAGTCATGACTCATCTTCATCTCGATAAATATGAAGACATAGATCGATGGGGAAAAAAAGAGCTTTACCCCTGGAGCTCCATGTTGGAACGGTCAGTACATGGAGAGTTCCGCTGGTCCAGTCCATCCGGAACTCCTTTCCCTGATTCTGTTTCATGTTGGTTATCTCTAACCTCAGACATCTTTCTTTTTCCTAAAATGACCACTAATGACCACAGCTGTAAGCAAACATCTCTCTTAGCTAATGATTCTGATTCATTAGCTTAAAAAAAAAAAACGTCCCAAATTTTTCTAATGTGACAGTTACATCTGATATTTTGATTAAACAGTACCCATCTAGTTTGAAAATCACTATTTTCTTAACAGCTTTGCTAGGTTCAAGGTGAAGTTGCTGTCTCCAGTTGCGAGTCTTTAAAAAGGTGTGTTACCTCTAAAAAAAACTCACCCGAAACGGAATATGACAAGCGACAACAATCAAAACACAATCCAAAACAGTCTACCTCAGTGCTGTTGGGGAAAAATCCAAAGTTCAAAATACAACTTCCGGTGCACATGGATGACGTCATTAACCGCAACAACGTTAGTATTTTTATTTAGAGTTTTCGCTTTGGAGAAGTTCGTTGTTCTTCAGTTCTAAATTATTTATGTTCTCTAGAGTTTCCTTGGGATGTTTTCTTTTCAACTAACCTGAGTGTTAAGTTATTATCGGTGCCGCGCCCTGATTTTGCAGCGGGTTTAAACCTACGTCATTGCGCGACGTGGTGATAAACACGCTCTTTTGAGTGGCAAAACGTTCGTGTCGGATTCCATCATTATTTTTTCAGTGTTACTTTTGCTATTTTAGTCGTTTGGTCAGAGCAAAAATATGTATTCTTATTTTATTTTTATGTAAATCGAAATTACTCATAAAGTCCGCAACCATCTTTTTTCCGACTTTTCTTTTTGCCACTCAGTGGGCGCGGCCTTAAAGAAACTTACCCGAAGAAATAAAAAATGTAGCCCATTTTATTTAGGACTTAAGTATAATTAAGCATTAATATTATTCAACTGAAGATTCAGCCTTGCTTGGAGCATATTCACATTTTAGGACAAAGCGTAATATTTACTATTTATAGCATCTCCTGCCCAATGTTGTCATTTTAGCGCTTGGTTCTTCACCTCCGGTATTATGCACTAATTTACATCTTTTTTTCTCTGACTCACAATCAAGCATAACTTTAAACTGTCTAGCACCTATGACCAGACTTAAAATTGAATTTAAATTTTATTGATGGCATCTGTGTGTCCCCAATAGGGTTAATTTCTTATCCAATATCCAAGGCTATTCTCACACAGGATCTAGATGTTTTAACAGCTTTCAATAAATTTAATCATAACTTTTAGTATCTATTCAGGTCTTTCTCATCTGATCAACATTTGGTTCATATTTTGGAACAATATAGGGAGAGAAAAAAAAAGTGCATTAATTGCACCAGATACATCATTACTGAAATTTACCAGTCCAAGATAATTAATTCTGCTTAGATGTACTTGCACTAGTAATTTATAATTCAAGGCAAAAAAAAAAAAAAATACAGAAAAAAAAAAACAAACTCCAACTCCAGGATAATTCACGTTTTATTTTGTAGAAATTTAAAAGCAAAAAAACTGCTCATGAAGTCTCTAAGAGTGGCATTCATTCCATATTGTTGTCAGGTGCCGTGGCACATAATCCAAACAAGACAGGTTTCAGATGTTACTCTCAACACAATGATTGTTCTATATATTTATCATTTACGGTACAAAACTTTCAGCCAACTCAAAGATCTAAAAAGGAAAAGGTTTCCCCTCTTCACAATTACTACATAAGGGTACATCAGATCAAATCCCACCTGCACCACAGGTCAGCAAAAAAGAAATTAAATTCATTTGCTAAGCTTTAGAATAGAAAAAGGTTGATTTGTTTTCCACATTTCCCCCTCAAATTATCTCCTGGCGTTGACTTGCCTTCAGCCCACATCAAATGTAACATAATCAGATGATAAGCTGTAAAACAAAAGAAAGCTTCTCTTTAAATAAAAAGAATAAAAAGAAAAAAAAAACTTTTGAAATCCAAAAAAATAAAAAATTGTGCACAATAGCACAATAAAATATATAAAACAAATCAAAAATAAATAAAAAAAACCTGTCATGAACATAAACAAAAACAAGAAAAAAAATAAGTGGAAAAACAGAGCATACATTGGAGTTTACTTTTTTTTTTTAAGAACCGAATTAAACATTCTACTGTATACGGCACAATTTCACTTGTGAGCGCTTGTCAATGCTTTCTTTTGCACCTCCAAATGAGCCGTGGTCTCACTGTGATGCTGCAGAAAGTGGTTTCAGGTCCTAAACAGTCATATCAGTAACAAAAAAAAAAAAATAATCCATCACATTTGTGGAAGGAACCCCCCTCAAAAAAAAAAAAAAAAAAAAAAAATCACAACCTACAAAATGCATAATCCATCAACAGAAGCTGGCATCTCTTTATTCAATCAGGCAGGAATAGATCTATTTTTATGAAAACACCTTCATCTTTGGAGTTTTTTTTTTTTTTTTTTTTAAGCAACCTGACAACCAAAATCACTTACTGACTGGCAACCAAATGCATCTGGGGGCTACATGAAAGCAGGCATGAGTCAGACTGTACTCCCTAGAACAATTTCAGAGTAGGGCTGGTGCAAAATTTTGTCTAAGTAGTACTTCTGTAAACACCAACAGACAAAAATCCACACACACACCTCCAATGTAACCATCAACTATGGACAAGAACTTAAAAAATATAACCAACACTCCCACGGATAAGGTAACCAGTGTAATCTAAGAATTAAAATGACGCCCAGCATTCCCAGACGTAGCCTACACAGTATCAACAAGAGAACATATGGCAACAATCACTAGTTTGATAGGAAGCAGGAGCAGTACCATGTAAGTCCAGCAGCCAAGCTAGAAAACTGCTAAAACTCTAATGTTTAAGATCAGGGATGCCTCAAACATCAATAACCAAGAATAGAGATGCACTGAGAAAAGAAAGAAAAGAAAAAAAAGGTTCAATCTTGGATATCTGATATTTTCCCAGTCAGTGAATGCCCCATGTGCAATACTCTTAAGTGAAGATTCCTCTAAGGTAGCCAATTTCTATATCAATAATGTTTAAATTGAATTTAGAAGAGGCTCTGCAACCTATTAAAGCATATTTGGGGGTTTTTAAGCTGCAAGAAAGCAAGATTTGATTTTTTAATGCATATGTTCACAACCTTTTAGAAACCTTAAAGTTAACATGTTCAATTAGTTTCTTGGTCTCCTTTACCGCAAAGCGCCACATGGTGGCAGTGCTGCTCTCCCAGTATGGATAATTCATCTTTCAAGAGCCACAAAGAAGCAAAAACAGGATTAATATTCTGATGTGAAATTATTTTATTCTTTAACTCAAGGCTACCACCCCATATGAGGTTGCAGTGAAAACTTTACATCTCTTTTAGTGACCAAAGCTAAAAAAAAATAGCATAAATTGAGCCTTATCTGTGTTTCCAAACAGTAAGGTCTGCCAAAACCTTAAGGATCTACATTCTTTAGGGAATACACAAGGAGACACTTGTTTCAGTAATGCTGACTGCCGACATACAATCTTTGCATTAAAGTAGTAAATCTAGCACATATGGCAAGAACCCTCTTCTCACACTACAAATAACAGCTAATATTAAGACTGGAATAAAAAAAAGTGACGTTTATCATTTATTTTTACTTTGCATTAATGGGTTTTAAACCCGAAATCAGAATCGGCTAAAACTAGTACTGGTGGCTCAAAGATTAAAAAAAAAAAAAAAAAAACAAAATCGAGATCGGAAATTGGCCACTAAAATCGGATCACAGTGCATCTCTAACCCTGAAGTTTGAAGAGAGGCAGAAACCCTTTCCGATGCATTAATGGGTGCAGTGCCTTCTTCCTATGATCCTATTCATCCCCGTTTAGGAGTTACGAATCTATGGCCTCGCTTAAGTCTTACTCTTAACTTTATCATTTTGCTTACAGCAGTCCTAAAAGTCACTTATCCAGAGAAGCTAACAACTTCAGCATATTATCACTGTACGTCTTACAATAGAAATTATATTTCATCGGAACAGGAATAAAAAATAAAAAAAAAGTGCATTTATACCAGTAGAAACTCATTCTTGGTGATTTCTCTCAGCGAGTCCGTTTCTTTAAATATACTAACAAAGCCACAGCAGCGAATACGATTCTTGATCTGCTTACAGTATTAGCAATCTTGATGCATCAAACATGAATTTATTTCCTGAATCCATCTATAGCTGGTCTTAACGCAAACAACCTCGGTTAAAACTATAGGGGGCGATGATTAGAATGATCGGAGGGGGACACATGAACCAAAGCGGCAGACGGCCCGAAAACTGACGATTAATGCTACAAATAAACGAGACATTCACGTGAACATGCAACTTAAAGCCTAGGTTATGTGGATTATAGTATGTTGGAACTGGGTTGACGTAAACCTTAACTGCTTCTGTTGACGGGAAAGAAATAAAGTCCTACACTTAGAAAGGAAATCTACGGATCAGACGGAAATGTACATATGAACAGAGATGCGCGTTTGTGTGAGTGTGCATATAGAAAGGTGTATGCAATTCTCTTGGAAAAGGTGCAAAGGTTCTGTGCACATCGTTACAAAGTAAAAGCATCCGTTTTCTGTTTTAACAGCTACATGTGAGCGTAACTACATGCTTTGTAGTATTTGCTGGTTCGGATAATTACTTTTGGTACCTATCTGCCCACCCCCCTCCCCTTCCAGACGTCACTAACTTGTATGAACAATCCAATCGTGAAGACGGAGGGGGGGAGGGTCTGAACTCTGCCCCCACCCCCCACCCCAATCCCGCTGTGTTGCCCTCACCTCCCTGAAGATCCCTGGATTGCGGTTGGCGAAAGTCACTTTTGAGTTTCTAGCAGTGAGGCATTTATTACGAGAGGTATACATATATCCCTGGTTTACCCTCCCTCAGCTACCGCCCTCATCCCACCCTCCCTCAGAGACAAACAGGGCGCAGGGGAAAAGGAGGCCATCCGCAGACTGGAGGATCGGGGCCAGTCGCATCCCTCCAGCTCCACTTTCTCCCCATGATTTGGGCAGTGCAATGAGTTCCCCTGTTACCCTCCCCTTCATGAACCTGGAAGAAAAATAAAAAAAGAAGAAAAAAATAAGTCTTTTTACGGGAAACTTCACTGGTCAGAAACACCTACACTGGTGAAGAGTGGGATTCTGGATCAGAACAATGAAATTGGGAACAAAATGTATCATTAGTTCTCAATGAGCTGGGTGTTTCATCACATCCAGAGGCTTTCGACTTGGAGGAAATGACCTTACGAAGGCAAGGACTTACTTACTTGACAGGTCAGTGGAACAAGGGTTGGATTAGACACCGTAGCAGGCCGATAGTCGCTCTTTCAACAGAGGGGGGAACTGCTCAGAGAACTGCTGCCAGTTCTCTTCCCCCACCTGGTCCTTGAAGCCATGCAGGATCTGCAGAGAAAAACAAAAAACATCTAAGCTCTTTAACACGCTTTCATAGCTGAATCTGCACTGGAAGGCTAATGGGCGACCATTTATATCGGGTGATGTTGAACAGAACCAGAATGAGGGGAAAAAAGAAGATTAAAATTATATTTGGTATGGGGGCAATAAGTCACATCACACCGAGATACATCTGGTGAAGGTATTAAGGGAAATTAGAGACAGGCCCCTCACAATAAATTTTGCTGGACAATAAATTGTAACAGTAATTATTGCGATAAGCGATAATATTGTTGTTCAAAAAGTAATTTATCGGTAATGGTGTAATAAGTTTTTCCTCTCAAAGACCAATAAACTTTGAGAGGGTTTTGTGAAAGAGGTTTGAACCACACTTCTCAGAATCATAATAATCCGCACCTTGGAATCAGATTTCGAATGTCTGATGAATGATCATCACAGTGTGGTGAGCAAAGACCGAGCAGGGAAAGATTGGGATTAGTCCTCATCTGTCACTTACCTTATAAAACATATCTCGCAGGTCGTCCTTTGGGTTGACCCATGAAGCCACAGCGTCACAGAAGAAAATAAAGTCCTGCAGAGATGAGATTTGTTCTCTCAGTACACCAACATGGAACTGGCGTGGTTTTATAATCGGAAATGTTTAGCAGAAATAAATCACCTCACCTGTACAACTCCTGCAGGATTGACACCAATCATAACGCAGATTCCCCGAAAAGCCGAGTCCTTCTCCTCGTTATCTCTAATATTTCTCAATGACGTGCACCTTTTATATAAAGAAAAAGAAAAACCATTATAAACAAATATGCTTTAAAACTATTTTCAAAAATAGAAGCTTTTGCAAGTGACGCACCAGGGTCTGATGAAATGCTGCAGCTGTGGGGCCACTTCCTGAGGGCAGACGAACCCGAGTCTGCCGATCGTAATGGCTGCAGACGTGAAAACGCAACAAAAACGCTTCAGGTCATCTGTGGGTCTGTCCAGAGCACAACTCGTGTGTGTCGGTGATTGAGTGTGTACCTGTGTTTTCCAGCAGAGTTTTGGGTGTGTTGGGTCTGTTGATGATCTCCACCAGATGAGGGAGGACCATGCCGACGTAAGGCTGCATCTCTGCACCTACACAGAGGAAGAGCAGAGAAGACAAATGAAGAAAACTGAAGTAAAAAAATAAAAAATACTGCAACAGATGTATGTACTTCTATAAGATACTGATATTCATATCTTATACATACATATGTAAGTATAAATACATAAGACAAAAGAGCAACACAGTTTCCAAACAAGAAACATTTATACACTTATCTTACAAGACTAGACTCTACCCTAAACTAGAACCATGAAGTATTCAGTATCTGGATCAGAAAATGTTTTGGGAACAAAATGTATCATTGTGTATCAATGAGCTGGGTGTTTCATCACGTCCAGATACTGAATTAAGAACAGAAATAAGTCATTTAAACCAGGGGCAGCTCTCTTACCCATTTGCATAGAGATCTCCCCGATGGCCCAGGTGGCGTTGTTACACACAGAGATAAACTCTGGGTTCAGGTTGAGCCCCAGGATGGGCATAAACTCAGCTGGAAGGAGGCAAAGCACACAATGCTTACAAAAAGACAATGTTACTTATTTTCAGGCTTAATTAGTTAAAAACGAGCCACGTACGACAACAGCGGATACAATTTTATTTCTAAGTAACATTTAAAGTGACTTACCAATGCAGGGCTTCACATGGAGGAAGCACGCCTTGGTTAGATCCCCCAGCAGGGCGAAGGAGCTTTGCCTCACTTCAGGCATGGTGTCCTGTGACAGAACCAGAGAAATCACTGTTACACTTAAGTAGAAGAAACAAACAAAAAAAAACATATCCACAAAAGTGAAGAGTCAAAAATTCTGTTCACACCTGCATGCACTGAAAAAGAAGGGTCATTATATTCGATCGAGCCACTAGCTGCTCCACGTGGCCACCGAGCCCCTCGGCAAGCCCACTCAGCAGATCCAAGGCCACGATCATAAAATCCTTGTCTGGAGCCTCGTACTGGTCAGGATGCTGGTTGTACATCTGGACAGAGAGGAGAGGCAGTAAGTTTCATGTGTGTGGAAACTCTTAAGAAGAAAAATGTTTGGAGAGTGTGTGTTCAGGTTCTCACCATGGCCTGAGCAAGCGTCTTCTGGACCAACGTGACGCAGCGCTGATAAACAGGCTCGCAATACGGCAGGAAGCCGCTCTGCAGCGCTGTTGCTACGGACGACAGACACTGGAAGAAAAACACAGCAGTTTGGGGGTTTGCTTAAACATGATGGTAGCTAGAAAACTCAGGTTTAATTTATGATTTTGGTAATTTAAAAAAAATAAATAAAAAGTACTCGTTTGCTTTGGATGAGACAATATATTTTTACCCAAAAGATACTCACCTCTAATAATGGGAAAAGATCCTTGTCTTCATCTTTTAGCTGATTCCACTTTGCTATTAAAGGGGGCATCAGCTTCTGAATGTACTCCTAGAAAACATGCCTCTGATTAGTGATGAGTAAATAAAGCAGAGAAAAAAAATCTAAGTCTTACAGACTTAGTTTTTTTTCCTGGATTAGAATACTGCTAAAGTAGTTATGACCTAGTTTGTTTTTACGTTAGAATTGCAATTTCAATTTCCTCCAACAAGACACGCCTTCAATGGCAACACAGACAAAACACTTGCAAATTCTCAGACAAGAGTCAGCCTATTATTGTCTCGTCTATGCAAATCTAAACGCATCATCTCAAATGGACTCAAATCACAAAACTGAGGTCATAGAGGCAAGAAAGAGGGGAAAAAAAGAAAAGAAAAGAAAAAAGACGACACTTACAGGTTGATTAAGATGGTGACCCACTGAATCTGCCAAAGTCCCGATAGCATCGTAGAGGATGAGGAGATTCTTGTGCTGGTACTTTCCGAAGGCAAACACCAGCGTGTCCAGGATGAAGCTCAGGTAGGGGACCAGTTCTGTGCACGCCTCCTCCTCCAGGGTGGCAAAGGAGCTGAAAACCCAAGATGGAAAATCTTATTTTTCTCAATCTGGGTGTAATTCATAAAGCTTAGCACAAGCAGAACATGCGACAGAGGAGGGGAAAAAAGTCTATCATAGTTAATCAATGTGCTGAAGTTATTGTGTCCACATAAAGGGGAGTGGAGGAGGAGAGGAAAGCTGCTCACCTGCAGGCGGCCTCCTGCACCCTCTTGTTGCTGTCCAAGATGCGTTTCAGGAGCTCCGTCATGAGGGGCTTGAGGTAGGAGTCTGGGGGCTGGGAGACCACCCAATGCGCGTAGCGACTCAAGGTCCAGCAGGCGATGGAGCGCACCAGGGCCTTCTTGTCGCTCAGACTCTGGATGAGGTGAGGGATGAGCTCAGGCAGGTAGGGCACCATGCCCTGCATGCAACCTGGGCCAGAAGAAAAGGAGAAAATTTACCTCGACAATCTGACAATAAACAAAGCGAATTGAATGATAGTGGCTGCACAAGTAACAGTGATTTCTTCATGAGCTGTTCTAGATGTCAATAAACATTTAAACACAGAAGGCAGCCCTCGCTGGTTAGACGAGAAGAGAAATCAGCTGGAGAGCAAAATCTGACAACTTAAACACTTCCCTGTGCAGGATCAGCATTTCTGATGTCAAAACTTCAGCATGGCTAAAGCACTGCTGGGCCAAGTCTGTGAGCAAATGCTCCACTGCACCAACTAGAGTCATTAATTATTCAGTATCTGGATCAGAACATGTTTTGGGAACAAAATGTATCATTTTGTTTCAATGAGCTGGGTGTTTCATCATGTCCAGGTACTGATGAGTTAAAAATAAAATGGTCACCATGCAGAAATTCAACATTTCAATATTTCTTTGGATAGCTGAAGACACCATAGCCAACAGCTACAAGGTCTTGGGAGCTGAATTTGTCGACAGCTTTATGGAAATCTCAGAGTTCAAAGGGCAATCATTTAAATTCTCTAGGAAATACACACAGATATGGCTGTTTAGGTAAAGCTAGCCACACTGACCACAAAATTTATTCAAAATATAATTTAAAAAAAAGACTCAACTACTACTTGTCTTCATTGTAAAAACATTTTACAGCAGTTAAACAGCATCACATAAATGGTGAAAAAAAGTTTTACGCTGCTCTTAGAATTAGCGAAGAAAAATATACGTGATTGGAAATCACCCTCAAAAATTCAGAGTGATGCATCTCGAACACATAAATATAGATGTGAAGTTTGACACATCGATGTCTGTGTTTAACTTTAGCAAGATTTAGCAAACTGATTAAAAACAACAAATCCCATTTCATAGATATTCTCCCAAACACCACAAAACAATACAATCTGGCCTGCATGTGAATTAAATGCCGCAGCAACAGAAGGACATTCTGCTAATCTGACCTTCAGCTATGGCTCCAAGCACCAGGATGCCAGACTCCTTGATGACCCAGTCCGGGTGGAAGAGCAACCCTTTCAGAAGCGGCAGAAGGTGGGGCAGCAGCTCGTCACGGAACACGTTGGCCAGAACGTCGAGAGCTGCAGCTGAACACTTTCCTATGATTTTAAAATAACACAAAAGAAGGGAGGGAATAAATCACATGATTATTTAAATAGACAGATTAACAAGGGAGGTTTCAGTTTCCATATTTGAAAATCAATTAGGTGGGTTCAGAAATAAATCGCTTACTTTTACTAAGATTGAAATGAGGACCAGACTTGCAGCCTGAGAAACACACACATCCTTTTCTGACCCCAGTGACTAAATTTCTCATTACTTACGCAGGTTCCAGTCAGTCAGCGCATCGTCGTCGTCATCATCATCCTCATCTTCGATGTCTTCGTCCTCTTCGCCCTCCCCTCCTTCGTGCTGCAAGGTGACAGTGCGCGACTTGTGGAAGCGGGGCTTGATGTCCTGCTCGCTGTCCGGCACCGCCTCGTCTTCCTCCACGTCTCCCTGAAAAAGCAGGAAGTACCGCCTCAGCACCAAGCTGGCTGCTCCGTCATAACGAGCTCTTTGCAGTAAATTCAATCATGAATGCCTCAGGTGCGTCAGCAAGAGCGTAAGACACCTTCAGCATCTGCAAAGTACCAAATACTGTTCTTACCTTCAATAGTATGATGTCGATCTCTGAATACTTCATTCCGTTTACTAGAACAGGGATCAGTCTAAAGAGGGAGAAGAATGAATTGGTTACAATGCCTTGTTAAAGTGTTCACAACCTTTGTACTTGTTCATGTTTGTGAGTTTACTCAAAACTTCAAAGCATTTGGTTGGGACTTTAGTTAGTTGACGGATCAATATAAAGTAGCGAAAGGGGGACGTTGCTGCTGCAAGCCTTTACCAATTGGATTTGACTAGGCCGTCCTAAACCAAACATGCTTCGTCCTGAAGGATGTGAACGATATCAAGCTTCATCTATTGACTCTGACCATCTTCCAATTGCATGAAGAAGCTAAGCAACTTCTTAGCCTAACATTGCTGCTGCCACCATGTGACTGAATGCGTTTTGTGTGCAAGTAGAACTGGTTAACTCTGAACCACTTTCACATCACACTTCTGCAACAAACACACAACCACCCTTTCAGAACCTACAAGACGATCCGAAGAAATCCTGGATCAGGTGATGATTGAATTTATTCCCCAAATTCAACAGTAAACCACCAGACTACACTAATAGTGCAAAAGTTACTCACTGCACCAGATGTCCAGACAGCGCCTCCTTACAAATGGGTTGCTCTGCTAGAGTCAACCAGAACTCGCAGGCTTCCAGAGCCACGTTCTCATCAGGATCCTGAGTCCGCTGCAGCATATACTGTAGGAGACGGAGAAAACAGAGTTCATCGGATGCCCAGTATGGACAAAACTTTCGCTTAGCTTCTCTAAAGCCGCCTGCTGGCCTGAACTCACCTGAATGATGCTGTGCATGTGGGGGATTAGACGGTCGATCCGGACTTCCAGCAACATGACCAGCGCTCGGCACACGTTCTTACGGACCTCGGAGTCTTCATCTGCTGCCAGCACAAACAGACTCTGGAAGGGAAGCAATGTTAAGGATGCAAACTGTTTTAAAATGTATGCACTGATTTAATGACCATCACAAGCCAACTAACCTCTATAAACGTGTCAATGTTGTCCATGAGTGCCTGGGCTCTCCCGATGATGAACTGGTTCACGCAGGCAATAGCGTGGGACCTACAAGAAAAATCAGTCCATCAGCATGAAAGAGATTTTTTTTAAAATAAACAAATACAACCTTTTTCTGCACTGAATAAATATTTTCCCTCATTTAAAACATTCTCAAAGTTACAAAAAAAGAAAAAACTGCTTTACAAGGGAAACCAAGCTGCTGACAGATTGCTAGTTCTGATCACAGTAAGATGTCAGGAATTACTTTAGGAGCTGCAAAAACCATCTACAACGTCTCCAACTGCATGAGACACACAAGTAGCATTTCCTGCTCTCTCCTGTACCTAATCTTTGGACTGCAATGCTTGAAGAACTGAAGAAATTTAGGTATCATAACGTTGAGGGGCCTGTTCAGAGCGTCGCTGTCCAGCAGCTCCGACGAGTCCTCGCAGATCTTCTGCAATGCCCCGAACGAGCCCTGAGACACGGACATACACAGAAAGGCTGTCAAATCAAACGCAAACATAGACGGAGACACAGAGGAGAGAACGAGACGAAATCAGAAGATCGACGTAGAGAAATGGGGATTAAAAGCACTGCACACATTTCAACTTTCAATCCGAGCTTTAAACTCGGTCTAAAGAAGTACAGCTAGCCATCAGGAAGCAGATTTTGTCTAAAATAGAGTTATAAAAGTCGCAGCTCTGTAGGTACTGACCTCACAAGTGTTGTAATCCTCCGAGTCGAGCAAGTTGCAGAGCTGTGGGAGCAGCTCTGGCCATGATTGCAGCTCTCCTTTGGAGGCAATCGTAGTGATGAGGATGCCTGGCAGAGCAGAGGAGGCAGAGATTATACACCAGCCTCCACTCACGTTTAAAAATCAAACATCCGAAGAAATCCTGGATCAATCCTGGATCAAAAATCACAGTTTTTGCAGGTGTTCTGGATCAGACAGTATGAATACAAAGACCTTCACGGGTACTCAGAGGTTTAAAATGCATCATCTCCAGAAAGTAACAGAAATGACGAGAACAGCTCATTAGCTTCATTCATTTATTTAGGGGGGGGGAAAAAAAAAAAAGAAAAAAAAACTCACCAATTGTGGCCCGGATAAGCGGCGACGGATCGCCGATGCTGTTGAGGCATTCCCGCTTGATGAAATCGGAAACTCCTGACGGAAAGTTCTGGTAGTGGGCCTTAACATTGTTCTTCAGTATCAAACCACTCAAAGAGCGAGTCGGCTCATCTGAGCAGAGAAGAAATAAAGACATTGATGTACGAATCGGGTGAGAGGAATACATGAAAGAAAAAAAGTCACTTCTAGAGAATTTACTGATTTGTATGTTAACATCATAAGAATTAAGGGCATAAAAAGACAGACATACGAATCTGGTGCATGTTACGCAGGCATGTGGTTTCAGATCAGACAGTATGAATACAAGAACCATCAGTGGAGGTCAGGTGGTTTTAATGCATCATTTCCGATCCACATGTATAGTCAGGCTAGCAACAGGCAAGCGACCGAGTCATCTTGATTTGATTTATTCTCTGCCGAAGTTACAGATTCAGCTGATTTAGTCATTTTCTGTCTTTGTATACATTCTAATGAAAGGACAATCCAAGCTAAACACTTGTAGTTCAAGTGTAGGCACAGAATGACTTAGAACTGCGTCAGCCTACTTCAGACCTGTTGACATTTCCACATGTAGAAGAATGTCCCCAAACATGATTAGTGAAGCAAGGAAGACATGTTGACAGCTTGTAAAAATCATGTATGAATTAACAAAACATGACATAAGTTCATCTTCAAATTCCTAGAAAAGTGTTTGAATTCAACCAAACACCATATGCTTACCTTCAGTTTTCAGTCTTGTGAGGACAAAGATGAGATAGTTGTTGAAATCGGGGAACTGATTGAGTTGTTCAAGTTTCTAGTAAAGCAGTTAAGGACAATGTTATTCACCAAAATCAGACGAAACACATTGAGGAACTGTTTAAAGTTTAGAAGCTCAAGCTTTGTTAAAGTGCTTGTGCTGCACATGTCAAATTAGCTCAATATTGAATTCAACAACCACTGTTAATCCTTAGCATCAATTTTACAAAAGGACACACTCGTTTACAGATGCACAGCCAAATCTGGTGGTGGCTGGTTTATATTCGGCTCCAGACTTTGACATTGTAACTACTTTAATTTCCCTTTAGGATTAATAAAGTATTTTTGAATTAACTGAGTTCATTTGACAAGGAGATAGTTTAATTTCTAAAAGCAGCATTTGCAGGTTTATGGGTGTATGCAAACACAGATCTAACCAAACAATCTATTGCCAAAATTAAACAGCAATGATTTTTAAAGATGTTCTATCATTATCAAAATGCATCACAAAATAGCATGTCTATCTTTATAACTTTTTGATAATCTCAGCAAGGAGGGATGAATCTACAGTAATTAAAGGAATACACAAGGAAACTCTGGTCTTAGTAATGCTACCAACATTTAAGGTTAATGTAAGAATGCCAAATTAAATTGTGAGATCAGTGTTAATTGTTAGAAGAACGTTCATGGACTTCCCAATGGTCACAAAAAATTGCAGACACACTACAGAACATTTTAAAACCTTCTTTTTTAGTGCTGAAAGAGAAATCAGAATCTGCTCAAATCTGTATTGGAAACTGATGGGTTACCCCTTAAAATTACACTGCAGCAGGATACTTGTTGGACTGCTCTTTGTGTGACAGTGTTGGGCGACTGGGAGTCTTTAAGCAGCTGGAGGACCTGCTGGAGTCCCTGTTCATCTGGCTGCCACTCCATCCTATTGACACAGAAACAGCTACACTTCAACATGTGTGGTGAGATGCACGCAACACGCAGAATATGGTGAAGGCATGTGGTTTCAGATCAGACAGTATGAATACAAAAACCATCAGTGGAGGTCAGGTGGTTTTAATGCATCATTTCCAATCCACATGTATAGTCAGGCTAGCAACGAGCTACGTTCTACAGGCACCAACGCAGCGCTGGCTCAAGTGGGAACAAATCCTGTCTGCTAGCAAATGGGTTTTAAGTAGAACATGTTTGCGGCACAAAAACAAAGCCATTAAACCACACGACCAGCTAAAATCTCCGTGACCCGGCTTAACCACCTCATGTTAATCCTATCTCCGCCCCCACGCCACCCGGTCCGCCAGTCCACACAGCTGGTCTCAATATTTTAGCCCAAATTTCGTTGCCAGCGGGTGGGCCAAAGACACGCGGGTCATCGGAGGAGACGCGTGCAAAGAAAAGTTATGAGGAAACAAATGCGCTACGACCGGGGACTACCGCGATGCGACCACCAGAAAGAATATAATGGCGCGTTATTCCGACTGAATAATACACTGGTAGTTTAGCATGTGGCATGTTTTAAATTGATCTACTCAATACAGCAGACCTGATGCTGCAAAAGTTGCCCTTCTACTTCAGGCCTACACGGTGAGGTAGTTCCCCCGGGTGTGCTCACAATGTGCCCCGGGTTGAAACTAATAACTCCCCCGACTGTAACAAAACAGACCCGATCTATAATTATTCTGAGAACCAGAAGTGTCTAACACATGTTTAACGTTACACGCTACTGACACAAATTCAGTAGTAATTTTAAAAATTAGCTGAACACGTTTTCCCGGCTACCGTTAGCCGCTAAGCTGCTAATGCTAAAATTACTAGCCGTGCTAACGTCGACATTAATTTTGATAGTTGCTTCATCAACATGTTTTCTAAAGTGCAGTGCGAACGACGTAATAACATACTTTGTTGAAAATAAGCCCCTCTGAAACTGTACCTACAATATTGATTGGAAAGTTGTATAATCAGTGCTGGGCCGCCCGTCTTCTGCTTCGTATCAGTTCAAATGAGCACGCCGACTTAAATTGACCTACAGCGGCTTCCGTTAAGCACAGGATTTCAGATAGTTAAGGTCACGCGAGATTATATGTAAAACTTGCGCTATGAATAAAATAGTCTTCCCATTTTTATAAACTTTTTCTCACAAAAAAAGCGAAAACGTCTTTTTATTATTTCGTGTCATTACTGATGTTATTTGGCAAATGAATGTATCTTAGGTGATTGTGACATTTTAGACTTTTGTATTGCAATAACGGTATCTTCCAAATGTCTTAACTGGTAACTTCCTTGAATGAATATTTTGTTTTTAAGTATCTAGGGGTAGTCTAGTGTACTTCAGAGAAATGGTTGTGACATGGCTTATTACATCTAAGTATGTCAGATCATCAACCACTTTTGTGTATAACCTAAGAAAGCACAAAATACAATTTTCTAATTAATTCATTAAGGGGGAACGCTATCTAAGCTGATTTGAGTGTTCACAAGACATGATTTATCGCCAAATGAAGCCTAAGTTGTACAACTCTGTCATAATGTTACTTAGAGCCTTCAGTATTTTCTGAGGTTGTACAGATTCACCTGACTGACATTCTAAAGTGTCCATTTTCATGCTATTAAAAACACCAACAAAAAACAGGGTGAAAATAAAAGCACATCTAATCTATTATTTTTGTTTTAAGAAAATAAATTAAAAATAAATTTTAAAAATAGTTTTAAAACTTAACATGTTTTGATTGAAATAGTCTAATTATAGTTTTAAAAATGGTAACTTATTCCAGCCTATTGACCTTTATGTTACCTGTAGTTACAGCAGATTGTCTGCTATTGTTTGAACTGCCATTTGTCTGTGTGGGAAACAATCAGGAGAAGTTCCAGCTTTCACACTCATTTGTGAAAAGTCATAAAACAGCAGGAGTTCAGGAGAGTCTCTGCTCTCACTTTATTTAAACAAAGGGGACAGATGGCCTTAGATCGTTACTTGCTAGGACTTTTAAAAAGTCAGAGACAGTTCCTGGTTGGATGAGCAAAGGTACGCCTTATTTGAATAAATTAAAGACAACAATGCGCCTTTACTATAAAACTTTCTACACGAGTAACAAATCATATTTGCTCTTGCAATTCTCCAAAGATGTCTTTGCACATCTTTGCTTTCCTTTCTATCTCCCTTCTTCTTTTCCATTTGTCTCAGGTAAATGAATGTATGTCTCTGTTGTTCTGCAGTTTCTGTTGTAATTTTATCCGTTGTCTTCTATTGGATTAAACTCTGTAATCCTGTGACGTCAACACTCATTGTTGTTTTCTGTGTGGCTACATGCGGCCTACCGGAAGAACCTGGGATCCGTAAGAAGATTGAGTCACAGAGTTTTCTTAAGAAATATACTATAACTTAAAATCTTCAACAGTTTCGAGAATAAACCTCTCAATTTAAAGAGAAGTCAGGTGCCAGTAACAAGTCCAAACACATTTTGCACCTTGATCAGTTAAAAGCAACACCTTTGCTGATATTTGCACTGGTTGAGGTTTTGTTGTTGGTCACAGGTTCATACACTCTGTAAACCTGAGAACTTTTGAAATTAGTAACTGTATAGCATATAATATTTACACTACAAACAAGGTAAAGTTCAAGGGAAATTGTTATTGGCGTACACAGTTCTGTGTCAAAGACAAGCTAATCCGTCCTTTAGTCATGAGACAAAGTCTTGACTCTTGGGGAATATTTTACAAGTCTAAAGAAGGCAATACCATCTTGTAATTCTCAAAAAGATAATAATGCTGGCCCAAAATGTTTTTTTTTTTTTGTTAGTTTTTTTTTTACTTTTATTTGAAAATATAAGTCAACATTTAAATGCAACCAGAATTAAGATTTACACTCAACAAGTTAAACGCTTTGGAAATTCTGCATGCTTTGTAGAAAAATCCAGGTATGACCTCACCAAATGCATTTAAAGATGTGGATGTGGTATCTCTGTATTTTAATGGTAACATAATTATATTGGGAGATGCTTGATCCTTGGACTCACTCTGACCCCACTTCATTCATAGAATGCAGTTTTAAAACACACACTACTAACAAGACAGCTTCACTTTTTTGATTTTTTTTAAAACCTGATAACTACAATTGTAGTTATAAGTTTCAGCACGATTGATAGGCAAATAACATTGCACCTGACTAAAATAATCTCTTTATGACAATGAAATTATGATCTAAACATTTTCCCCCTCCAAAAACACTGCTTTAATCCAAAATTATTCTAATCAAGTTCAAGAAAGATGGTATAGCAAAAACTAACAAAAATTAGAAATGTATTCAACAAAATTTTATCAAATTTATAAACATAGAAAACACAGCTTGAGCGTCACAAAAACCTGGAACTGTTTGTCATGAATCTTTCCTGCAGTTACACTGACAAAGCTTATTAGACAAAGTCTTATTCCAAACAACACAGAAAATTGTAAAACGGACAAAGACTAAAAACTAACATTCAAGATCCAGAGGAAGCATGCCGTTACTCCACCATTACTTCCAAAGGAGAGGGCATGAAGTGCTTTTCATAACCTGAGGTAGACTGTTCTTCCTCTGATGAGCTCCAACTATCATTCCTCTCTTCATCAGAGTCAACCATTTTACTGTACTCCTTCCTCCCGTATCTGCTGTCTGTACTGTCACTGCTTTCTCTGGTGGGATCCTCCTGTTGATCATCTTGGCAATCCATCAGGGGACAGCCATTCTCCTTTTTCATCATGTCGGGGTCAAAAACCTTGGACTTTATTTCCACAATTTCCAAAATAGAGATTGTTGGATAAGGTTCGTAGAGGGGACTGCGCATCCAAGTCAAGGGCTCGTTAATCTACAGGTGGATCAAAGAGAAGATTATTATTTTTACATTTTTTAAGTAAAACTTAAAAAAACAGCATGTCATTATGATTAAATACCAAATAATTTAAATTATTTTTAATAGTTGCAGTTGATTGCAGATTTGATTTTTGCTCACCTGGCGCTTCATCTGTTTGAAGATTTGGCTGTTGCTGGGATCTGGCACTTTCTCATAAAGACACTGAGGTAGGAGTGGGCACTCTTTTTTGCCTCCATGAAAAACACTAAAACAAAAAAAAACCATAAACCGATACCATCAATGGCATAAACCCCCCAGGAACCTTTTCACATTACAAACAAACTTTACTTAACTTTCACAGGGATTTTAATTGCATAAAGTAGCATATGATGGCACAGATGAAGAGAAAATAAGATGCATGGTTTTCAAAATTGTTACTCTTATATGAAAAGACTCACTAACACTTTACACAATTAACTAATCAGAGTTGAAGGAAAGATGAATGGCAAATACAGGAAACAAGCATTATGGAGGGAAAAAATCTGATCGAGGCTGTAACAGACTTGAGCCTTATAACTCTCGTAAACATACACCTAAAGTTACAATGGAGTAGCTTATATCAAAGCATTTTCATGAAATAGAATTGAATGGCCCCACTACTACTCAAATTCTGGGGTTAGCCTTCGAAATTGTCGATCATAGCAGCTCTTCATTTACACTGAATGTGTGCAGGCTAATTTTCACAGAAGAACGGGCAAAAATGTCCATACAAACACCATAGAGTCATGCCCTAAAAGACTCACTACACCGTGTTGGTCTTTCATACAAAATTACAAAAAATTGTAGCCAAACAAAATGTGAACAAGTTTAAGGGATGTGGAAATTTTTTCAGACAAAGTATATACATTTGCTTTGTCAGTATTAATGTTCTTAGATGATTGGCATCAAGGTATCTAGCAATGATTTTCTTACCACAGTATGAAACTGGTGATAGCTATGGCGATGACCAACAGCACAATCACCACAATGGGAGTCACAAATGCTGAAAAGAAATAGAAATATAGTGGAAGAAAGAAATTTAACAAATTTACTTGTTACAACCATTTTACAGGATATTACATATTAACATAAAGTTAATACATGATGGCATACCATAATCTTCATGATGATTGGTTTTGAATGTTTTGTTGACCTTTTCACTGGGCCCAGCAGCGGTCACAGCTCTTATCCAAACCGTGTATCCCTGACCTGGACTAAGATCCTTCAGAGTGTAAGTCGTATCTGTGATATTTATGTAGTGCTCTGGTTTGTGGTTTGGATCTGAGGTTAAGAAAAAAACAAAACATAGGACCATCAATTCACACTGTCAAAGAGCATTCCAACTTAGAAAAAACAGAAAGATTGTGCCGTTTAGTTGTAATATTTTTATTCAGATTTCCATATGAAATTAATATCCTCCACTATCCAAATAATATCCTTGTGTTGTTGCCACTTTGGTGAGTAAAATAAGAAAAAAGATCATTTTTATTTTATATTGCAGTGGTTATTAGCTCACTCCTACAGGAGATGTCACCACTTCAATCAAGGCCCACAATATGAGTCTTTTTTGTTCTTTTGTATTTTTATGTTATTTAGCTATTTCCTTGTTTACAAATTTTGTCATGTTCATTCCTGTCTTGTCTTTCCTACTTTGTTTTGTCCTCTGTTGCTGCTTTGCCAAGTACATTTCCCTGAATGTGATCAATATTTTTATCTTTAGTTGGAATCCCTACATATTCATATTGGACAATTCTATTCTGTCAAAGACATCAGGTTTTCATTTTATTTTAACAACTTCAATTTCTTTATATCCTTATATGTATCTTCTGGTTAAGCTTTATTGCACTAAACTGAATAAATTAGTCATTTAAGTTAATAAAAATAATTAAACTAAGGGGAATTGCACAGAAAAGAAAGAGCTGCAACACACAGTAACTGCAGAACATATTTAAAATACTATTATTGCTGGTTGTTTCATTGTGGTATATTTACTTTTTATGTTATGTTTGCAATTTGATTGTTTTTGCAATTGGAATTGGAGAGTTTTTACTGCTTTGTTGCCTGTCAGAAAAATATAGAAACTAAAGAAACTTGTTTGTCATAGAAATTGAACATTTCTGTGCATCCTACTGTTTATATTATGCAATCTACTATAATTAAGTGTATTGTATCAT